AATAAATTTACCTTCTTATAATCTTTTAAAGTTATATATTAAAAGATTTACTAATCAAATTAAAGATCTTGATTTTGACTATATACATAGTGAAGCCACGGAGTAAATACTGTAGACAATAGAAAAAATACAAGCTGTATCTAGAAACTCAAGTGCTAGAATTTAAGTATTTTTTTTTTATTTCTAATTTTTTTTATTTCTTTCTCTTTATAATAAAACTAATAAGCTTCAATACAGAGATATATTAGAAACTCGTGACTTAATATTGATTTAGTCTAGAAATATTAATCTATTATTGAGGAAAGAGATAATCTATGATGAATGAATAGTTCTGCTCAGTTATTTTACTGGAAGTTTATTTAGCCAACATCACATAGTGTTAGGGTTAAACATTTGATTAGTTTTAGATATATTTTTACTAAAATACTATTGACATGATATCAGCTAAATGAGCTATTAGTGAAACAATTGTCGATGAAATAAGGTAGGTGAATTCGGGATAACAGAGCTAGCTTTCACTATATGATGAGCAATAGCTAAAAAAATGATATCCTTCTTAATTGAACAAAGGAACTCCAATACGATTCTGTACTATAAGAACTAACACAAAGCTTATAGAAGGATTAAATATAAAATTAAAATATGATTTTATAAAGTTATCTGCTCTTGCAATAATGGCCTCATTGTCATTTCTCTTAAAATGTGGGAATGTTAAAGCCAGATATGGGTTAGAATTACTTTTTTTATACAATTATAGTTAGTGGCTGATATAAATGTCAAGAATACATATAATTTATGCAGCATACGTATAAATATGCATACCTAGCTTTAACAGATCCTTAAAATAGAAATTTATAGATGAATATAAATGTTAAGCACAAAAAAAGTAATAATACTAAAAAAAGGTAAAGCTACTCTAAAAGCTATTAGAAAAATATGAAAATTCATAATAAGTTCGACTTTAATTTCACACGAAAGAAAAAAATATAAAAAATACTAGCTAGTCTAGATAAATAAAGTAAAAGAAAACAATAGATAAATACTTCCCATTCAAAGCTTTCAGCCCTAATTTTTTAATTCTCATAGCATAAAGATGGAATAAGATAGAAAGTTTATAAATATACATATACTAATAAAAATAACTTGACTTTGGATAATTTGCTGCTTGATAATATTCCTTTTAATAAGTTGTCTTCTTTTTATTCTAACTTTGTAGCCTTTCATTAATTGTAAATCTTCGATTTGGTAACAGTAATATTATTACTAAAAATATCATTTTTTTTTTTAAAAAAAAATTAAATGTCAACTAAACCTAAACAAATACGAACTGCAATTAGTGATGATTTCAAACAGCAAATTTGTGAATTTGCAGTTAAAAACTTACACTATAACCATACACAAATTACGGAATATTTTAATCAAAATTTTCAATTAAATATCCATCATACAACTGTTTCTAAGATTATTAATGAGAAAGATAAATAGCTAGCAGTAGTTCTTAATGAATTAGCAAAAAATAAGTTCTGCTACCATTCCCCAAAATTTCCATTACTCGAGAAAGCTATAAGCTTATAGATTGAAAGTACAATTATAGCTAAAATTCTAATTAGTAAAATGTTAATCAAAAAGAAAGCAAAATTTTTTATGGAAGCTTTTAATATAGAAGAGTCTGATTTAAAATTGTCAAACGGTTAGATTGAAAAATTCAAACGTCATAATAATCTTTGTGTTTATCATTTACATAGAGAAGCTAAAAGTGCTCCTTTAGATACTTTATTTGAAGAAAGACAAAAATTGAATAATCTTCTTAGCCAATATACGCTTGACCAAATTTATA